GTAGCCGTGCGGAAAACGAATCAATCACGTAGCTGATGTTTCTTTGAAGGATCCTCGCATCTTTAGGAGAAAAACAAATATGCTGTGGACACCACATGATTTGTACGACTTATTAAATTTTACACATTTTTTTTTGCTGCACTTGATTTAAACTTACTTCCTCGAATTTTTCTGACTTAAATAACCGATCACTTAAATAACCGAAGTTGAAAATGACATCAAAAGCTGCTTTGGATTTTTCATAACGAATGTAAAACTTTCTCAAATATAAGTACAGGAACCGGGAGACCACTTCAAGAATTAGATTTCATTATTTGTCGAAAATCATATTTTAAAATTTGACATTGTCAAAACATGAACATTTTCGTCATTTAAAACACTTCTGCGATTGGAAGCTTATGACTACGACGAACAATTGCGAAAATAAAGGCCGGATAAAAATAAAAACAGCAAACGAATAAAATAAATATTTAGCAGACTCTGCGGTACTCAAACTGTTAATCTAGAGATGGTACAGATGGTATAAATATTACAGTTAAGAAGAGATAAGGTAATTAAACAGAGATACAAAATATAAAGAAATATATATGTATTAAATCTCGCATTTTATTACACAGATTTGTAATGTACAGCCAGCCTTTCTCTTAGGCCGCAATGGTGTTTTGATAAAGGCATCATAAATTAAATTAGCGATTCGAATTCATTAGATAATGGTTACAATAATCGGTTACATCCTCATAAGAGGAAGAATGCCTTCGTGAAAGAGTTTCTATAGGAAACTATAGAAAGGAATATAGGAAATATCTACAGGAAACATTTAAGCCGGGTAATTTGGGTATATAAATATATAGTGGTGTTGCCGATTTCAATAAAAAAAAAAAAGGAAGCTGCACAACTATATGTTATAGCGGAGCCGTATACAAAATTTCAATGCTTTACGGCATATCGTTTGTGATTTATGCAAGATTATACATAGGTACATATATATAGATGTCTCGAAAAAATTCCATTTTGAGTCCATTTTGCAATTTGTTTTTTTTGGGGAGAAGAGTCCTTAATTCTGTCCTTATGTACGTAAAAAAAAAAAAAAAAAAAAAAAAAAAAAAAAAAAAAAAAAAAAAAAAAAAAATCGTCCAAATGGATTTGAGAACAGTCAAAATGGACATTTCCGTTGAAATAAAATACCCGAAATTTTTCGCGGTGAAAATACTACTTCCTTTACTGTTGTGTTTTTATTGTGGCTTATCTCCACCTCATCGATAGTAACATCAGATCAGGTCTCTGATATCAGAGCAAGCCCACGAATTTCATCGGTGGCAAGGAGACAAGTTTTGCGCCTGTCGTTGGCTAGAGTATTGGCCACCATATAGGTGGCAGTGCGACTTTGCTCACTTCCACCCCCCAATTTAGAAGAAGAGCATCCCGGGGGACGGGTCCAAGGGTCTGGAGGTCCATGCGACGGCGTTTCGGTCACCCACCCCTCTTGCCCTACAATTCAGCCTCTCGAGAGGACTTTCGGCTCGCCGAATATTTAGAAGTATCCGCATGCCGCACATTCGAACCTGGGCCCTTCGGTACGGCAGTCAGCGTCGCTAACCACTACCCCAGTTTATTTCCTTTATGCCGTACAAGGAAGAAAAACGAATTTTAAAGTGAGTGGTCGCTATAATGAAGTGAATTTAGTATCTGTCTCTCATCAGTTAGGAATTTTTAGCATGGAACTTTTGCTAAAATGAGCGTTCATTTTAACGAGCATCGACTGTATAATATGCACGGGAATGCGTTTTACGTAATTCAAAACTTATTGTTTCATTTAATAATATTGCTCTAGGATGGTATTATGTTAGTACAGACTGAATGATTCTCTTTTGGGTTCCGATTGAACCTTGGATAAAGCATGAATGTTTCTACCTGTATGACATGATCAGACATAGCGATGAGAGCTTAAAATGTGTTACTTTTGGTAAAAATGATACCCCGAAAAGTGGAAAACGAATGAGGAACTTTTATGGCAGTTTCGCAATATTCTTACGTCATAACCGCCCTTGTAATAACTGTTTCAATGGGTACTCAATGATCTGAGTTTCTCAGAAAAGTAACTTAATTCTTGAATCACGTGACTAATGCAACTACTGCAGACGATTACCAAAAAAAAAAGTGTTTAATACTACCATTTTATTTACTATTCGCGGAAAGAAAGTTTCGTAATTATAGTCTGCTTGCATTGATTTACATGACAGTTGCATATGATTCGTCAGAAAGCAGATATTATTGGTTGTGTAGTTCTTGTTGGTGTAGAATTAAATGGCAGACAAAAGTGCCATGTATTTTTTAATTTCTTTATTATTCCTGTTCATTCTGCGTTCGAAGTTCCTTGGGCAAGAAAGCCACACGTTAGGAAGGTAACGTGCTCCGCTTTCCGAAGTGTAACGTGCATTCTTTTCCTTTGAACAAATTAAGTGGTTTTTATTTTTTTTCCGTTTCATCTCTTTATGGCGAAAATATTAGAAATAAAAAAAAAATTACAATTTCCTGCTTTGGTTGCCTTGGGAAAGATTTGATAATATGGGACACAGCAATTATTACCTTTGAAAGAAAGAAATAATGAAGTTAGCAGTTAAAAGTGTTTGTAGGCTATATGATATCTTAGATTTTTCTAAAACAGAAGTACTAACTATAAAAGAAACTAAAACGGATACCGTCTAATTTAGCATTGTTTGAATAGATATGATTTGCTTTCAGTGAATTTTAAGTTTTCATCATGCAAATAAAATACTGAAAATATTCAAACTGTAAATGTTATCTTGACCGCCCAGTGGCAAAGTGGCTAGCGTGTCGCTCTGCTGAAGCACAGGTCTGGGGTTCGATTCCGGGCAAGTTGACTCAGCCTTTCATCCCTTAAGTAAGTCGATAAAATAAGTACCAAGCTCACTTGGGGTCTAAACACCGCGGGTCCCGCGACAAGCTGACCACTTGCCCAGGGCATAAGCTCGGATTTTTTATTATAAATGTTAAACTGGTATTGGATGCGAATTGTATGGAGCTTTAAAAACTAACAACTCGCTATATAAGCTTCAGCAAAAATAATTACTGACATTGATTCGTTTGACGAACAGCTGATCAAAACGACGTTTAGGAAAATAATAATTGGAAAGACCAGAATATGGATACACTAGTAACTGAAATTCAAGTTAAAAGATCTCCCTTCTCAAGAGTTATGGCTATATATTTTATTTGGCTTTAGATGTTTGCTGCTTCTTTTATTGCCACTACAGCTTAGGTGGGCCATGGCCTGTCGTAGAACTCTCTTTCACTCCACTTTGCTATTAGCTAGAATTTCTCTATTGGCAATTTTAATAATATTATAATGTTTAATAATGTTAAAGTCTTTATGGAATGTAGTCCAGATATCGAAACCTGGACTTCTCTCTAGAGTAATTTTCCCGTTGGTGTATACTTCAAAATTTTAAATATTTAAGAAGAAAACTTTATTTGCCAGATGTGGCCAGCAAATTTCATTGTGTTAATTTTAATCTATTTGATGATATCACTCTCTCATTTCTTCAAGACAGATGTTAAATGCAAATAACGAATACTCAAGCAGGTAACAAAAATTATATATGAAGTGGTTCACATATAAAGTATTTTAAGCAATTTTTGATGTAAAATGTTCAAACTGCAGTAACTTTTTTTAACTTCGGATTAGCTTGATGGGATTGGGAACAAATCACAGAGTTTATAATTAAATTCTAAATATATTTTTTGTATATCTGTAGGCAAGATTTTTAAGTAATGTCTTTACATTCTGATGAATGAGTCATAGCATAGCAAAACAGTTCTCTTTACAGAACTGTTTCTGTTAAAGGCATATTTATATATTGGGAATGTTATATGATATTTCCTTTTTGAATTAAAAACTGTGTTATGTATTTGGTTATGATTTATAGGAGCTGTAAAACAATAAATAATATTCTGTGTGTTATTGTTATGTTTATTGAATTACAAATTGAAATTTGGCGTCATAACAGATTCTATTCTAATGCTAGCTTATGTTATGTTAATACATGTAAAGAAGCTATGTAATGACCTGTGATATAACATGTATATATATATTATACTATATATATGTATTCATACATTCTGTATATATACATATATACAGGATGTCCCGTAAATGTTCGGACAGTTTCTGGGGGAGGTAGGGCGCATCATATGGATTAAGAATTGCGTAGAAACCCATGCCCGAAAATATCAGGGCAAGTGGAAGAGAGGTGGAAGATGGGAAAGGAAACAAGAGAGTGATTAATTTGAAACATGTATTGGGCAGTAATACAAATAGTGTACTACAGCTTGACGGGTACAACAGATGCTCGAAGTTAGCACCATCAGATGCCGAACATGCCTGACACCGACCGATCATTGATTGCCGGACATGTTCAAACACACCGGGAGTTTCTTGATTGTAGCAGCTGCGCAGGCGAGTCTTGCCACGAGATCCATTTCAGACACAACAGGATCTTGATGCAAGACACTTTTGATGCCTCCCCACAAAAAAAAAAAAAAAAAAAAAAAAAAAAAAAAAAAATCAAGGCTCGCTAAATCCGGTGAGCATGGAGGCCAGGGAACTGGTCCCATCACGCCCATTCCATCGATGCGGGAATGATCTACTCAAATGGCTACGAACATCGAGTCCAAAATGAGCAGTAGCCCCATCATATTGGAACCACATGTTCACAAGCTCTCCGTTGGTATAGCGTTCCATGCTTTTCGTATGGTGCCTACCGGTCGAACGAGGCAATTCTCATTTTCCAATAGCACTCTCCTGTACAACACCCTCTGGCGGCGAACAGTGACGTTTCTGGACAGGGGTTACCAATGCAATTATTAATCCTTATGATGTGCCCTACCGCCGCCAAAAGTTTGTCGCAACATTTAAGGTTTACCCAGTATATCCAGATCCTGATATATGAAAAGTGCTAACTGAGATGGTTTTCTTTCAGGTCCCATTGCTGGTGCTCTTAGCTACAGATGGAGTATTCGTACGATCACCATGATGGGAGTTTTGCTAGTCACTCTGACAAACATGTGTTGCTGGTTCGCTTCAGATATCTATATGGTCACTCTCTTTTTAGGAGGTTTGCAAGGTAAGAAGAAATTCTTAGGCAGTGCAGCATAGAGTCCTTATGCCATCGTCTTTGAGAACAATAATTTCATATCGTGATATAAAGCGACTGTGTTAAAAAATTAAATTTCATTTACTACTTTAAATTTTGATATTTTTTGTCTTGGCAAACGAACAGAACTGATATGACTTGTGCAGCATTTACTAGTGTAAAGGAGATAACACAAGCAAGTAAATATAAGTTGCTTTAGAATGCTTAGGGAGTTGCTTTAGAAAACTACATGACGAAAAGAAGAAATAAATTTAGCTGAAAGTAACTGAAAATTTGATGTCTTAATAGAGAGCAGGATGACAGTTATGTATCATTAAGAAGTTTCTGTAAACAGCTTTTAAAGACGTATCAATTCGTGATCTTGTAGCAACTTCGCAATCCAAAAATTAGTTTAATTTTAATGCGTACAAAATTCTTTAAGTCAACTTATAGATGGTAAGCACCCGAACAAACATACCACTTTCATTTTTCATTGGAATATTCAGTAAATTACATGAGATACTGTTGGCTATAGGCTGATGCAAATTTTCTGAACACATTTGTATAGGTTTTGTATTAGGCTAAGCTAAATCGTCGATACTCAGTAGTTTAGATGTATATCTTAGATGCATCTCAGCTTTAATCGCAACTAAATGTATAGTGTAAATTAAATTAGATAAGTTAAAACACTCGACGACTACATGTTTTTAGAAGGTGTATAGTCTTGTAAGGAAGACATCATCATGCGTTTCTTTTGCTACTGAAGTAGTGCAGCATTTCAAATATCCGCATTGAAGTAAAGGACATTTTATTTCGTTTCTTTGTTTTATTTCACTAAAGATTATGTAAGTAAAAAGTGCACTTGAAAAGTCTAACAAAAAAAAAGTCCCACTTAAAAAACTCATGAAATTATTCCATATTCTTGAGCACACAACTTATTTCTGTTTGAATTAAAATAGACAATGAAATTAGCTCTAAAATTGCATACTTTATTTTGTTTCTGCTACTTTTACTCTGTAAAATTTAAATAATTTTATAAACATGATAACAAACAAACCATTACTGTTAATCTAAAATTAAAAGCGAATAGATAAATAAGCAACAATCTTACTTTACTAGGCCTGCAAAAAAAATGGGCAAAGTATCCGAATAATTGTTTCAAATTTCTGAAGCCTAGATAATTGCAGTTTCGCATTTTCAGATATTTGTCATCTTTAGATTTGTCCTGAAAAGAAAAAAGTATAAAAAACTCATATCTGCTTGAATTTTGTTTTCAAATCAAAATGTAGGTTCGTATAAATCTTCAACATGTCTCCAAACAACACTAGTAGTTCCGACCTGGCTTCGAATCCAGGCGAACGAGCTGGCTGCACGGGCGTTTTCGTGGCTTTCCCCATGCGTAACGTGTATACGAGCCAGTTTCCCTTAGAAAATTCACCACAAAGGCATCCCTTCCCTTAGGCAGATAGCCGTAGCTTCCTTTGTTATAATTAACTAAACCAAACGAAACAAATTGAAGTAGTATTGAAGAACAAGTACATATTGAATTATTCTCTATATGTTGTAATAAAAAATATTGATATGTATGCTTCTTGCAATTACCACATTGAGGAAACAAGCTAAATGCTTTCATTTTTCGTGCATGTCTGTATAGTGTAAATATTAATATCACCAGTGTCATATTCGTTTCATTAAAGTAAACATGCTGACAATTATACATTTGTAGACATACACAGCCAAAAGTATTAGTCACCCTATAATAATGCTTTTATTTAGAAATAAATAAAAACTGATATTTTAATCATTGAATAAAAGTAAACATGCTGACAATTATACATTTGTAGACATACACAGCCAAAAGTATTAGTCACCCTATAATAATGCTTTTATTTAGAAATAAATAAAAACTGATATTTTAATCATTGAATAAAAGTAAACATGCTGACAATTATACATTTGTAGACATACACAGCCAAAAAGTATTAGTCACCCTATAATAATGCTTTTATTTAGAAATAAATAAAAACTGATATTTTAATCATTGAATAAAAGTAAACATGCTGACAATTATACATTTGTAGACATACACAGCCAAAAGTATTAGTCACCCTATAATAATGCTTTTATTTAGAAAAATAAATAAAAACTGATATTTTAATCATTGAATAAAAGTAAACATGCTGACAATTATACATTTGTAGACATACACAGCCAAAAGTATTAGTCACCCTATAATAATGCTTTTATTTAGAAATAAATAAAAACTGATATTTTAATCATTGAATAAAAGTAAACATGCTGACAATTATACATTTGTAGACATACACAGCCAAAAGTATTAGTCACCCTATAATAATGCTTTTATTTAGAAATAAATAAAAACTGATATTTTAATCATTGAATAAAAGTAAACATGCTGACAATTATACATTTGTAGACATACACAGCCAAAAGTATTAGTCACCCTATAATAATGCTTTTATTTAGAAATAAATAAAAACTGATATTTTAATCATTGAATAAAAGTAAACATGCTGACAATTATACATTTGTAGACATACACAGCCAAAAGTATTAGTCACCCTATAATAATGCTTTTATTTAGAAATAAATAAAAACTGATATTTTAATCATTGAATAAAAGTAAACACATGCTGACAATTATACATTTGTAGACATACACAGCCAAAGTATTAGTCACCCTATAATAATGCTTTTATTTAGAAATAAATAAAACTGATATTTTAATCATTGAATAAAGTAAACATGCTGACAATTATACATTTGTAGACATACACAGCCAAAAGTATTAGTCACCCTATAATAATGCTTTTATTTAGAAATAAATAAAAACTGATATTTTAATCATTGAATAAAAGTAAACATGCTGACAATTATACATTTGTAGACATACACAGCCAAAAGTATTAGTCCACCCTATAATAATGCTTTTATTTAGAAATAAATAAAACTGATATTTTAATCATTGAATAAAAGTAAACATGCTGACAATTATACATTTGTAGACATACACAGCCAAAAGTATTAGTCACCCTATAATAATGCTTTTATTTAGAAATAAATAAAAACTGATATTTTAATCATTGAATAAAAGTAAACATGCTGACAATTATACATTTGTAGACATACACAGCCAAAAGTATTAGTCACCCTATAATAATGCTTTTATTTAGAAATAAATAAAAACTGATATTTTAATCATTGAATAAAAGTAAACATGCTGACAATTATACATTTGTAGACATACACAGCCAAAAGTATTAGTCACCCTATAATAATGCTTTTATTTAGAAATAAATAAAACTGATATTTTAATCATTGAATAAAAGTAAACATGCTGACAATTATACATTTGTAGACATACACAGCCAAAAGTATTAGTCACCCTATAATAATGCTTTTATTTAGAAATAAATAAAAACTGATATTTTAATCATTGAATAAAAGTAAACATGCTGACAATTATACATTTGTAGACATACACAGCCAAAAGTATTAGTCACCCTATAATAATGCTTTTATTTAGAAATAAATAAAAACTGATATTTTAATCATTGAATAAAAGTAAACATGCTGACAATTATACATTTGTAGACATACACAGCCAAAAGTATTAGTCACCCTATAATAATGCTTTTATTTAGAAATAAATAAAAAACTGATATTTTAATCATTGAATAAAAGTAAACATGCTGACAATTATACATTTGTAGACATACACAGCCAAAAGTATTAGTCACCCTATAATAATGCTTTTATTTAGAAATAAATAAAAACTGATATTTTAATCATTGAATAAAAGTAAACATGCTGACAATTATACATTTGTAGACATACACAGCCAAAAGTATTAGTCACCCTATAATAATGCTTTTATTTAGAAATAAATAAAAACTGATATTTTAATCATTGAATAAAAGTAAACATGCTGACAATTATACATTTGTAGACATACACAGCCAAAAGTATTAGTCACCCTATAATAATGCTTTTATTTAGAAATAAATAAAAACTGATATTTTAATCATTGAATAAAAGTAAACATGCTGACAATTATACATTTGTAGACATACACAGCCAAAAGTATTAGTCACCCTATAATAATGCTTTTATTTAGAAATAAATAAAAACTGATATTTTAATCATTGAATAAAAGTAAACATGCTGACAATTATACATTTGTAGACATACACAGCCAAAAGTATTAGTCACCCTATAATAATGCTTTTATTTAGAAATAAATAAAAACTGATATTTTAATCATTGAATAAAAGTAAACATGCTGACAATTATACATTTGTAGACATACACAGCCAAAAGTATTAGTCACCCTATAATAATGCTTTTATTTAGAAATAAATAAAAAACTGATATTTTAATCATTGAATAAAAGTAAACATGCTGACAATTATACATTTGTAGACATACACAGCCAAAAGTATTAGTCACCCTATAATAATGCTTTTATTTAGAAATAAATAAAAACTGATATTTTAATCATTGAATAAAAGTAAACATGCTGACAATTATACATTTGTAGACATACACAGCCAAAAGTATTAGTCACCCTATAATAATGCTTTTATTTAGAAATAAATAAAAACTGATATTTTAATCATTGAATAAAAGTAAACATGCTGACAATTATACATTTGTAGACATACACAGCCAAAAGTATTAGTCACCCTATAATAATGCTTTTATTTAGAAATAAATAAAAACTGATATTTTAATCATTGAATATAAGCGATGTTCATGCACAGTTTTAAAATAAAACTAGCAAAGCAACAACCTTCTGTATGGTGTAGATCTCAAGACTCTCAATTTCGAGGGCAAATAGGTACAGGCTCCTCTTCATCAGGAGCAAAGAACCTTGCAACGAAAGCCACGGTTGTATTTATACCCGAAAAAGTAAAGCAAACGTAGCGATATGTGTCGGCAGAAATAATACTGAAAACTGAAAAATTAGT